GGGGCCCATGCGGTCGCAGGTCGCAGGAGCAAACAGTGAGTGGCGAGGGCGCCGCCAGACCCGCGAGGGAGCGCGAAGCAACGCCCGCGCCCCCGACCCAAGAGCGACTTCCACGGGGCTGGGGGGGGGGAACTGCAGCAGCCCAAGGGGGCCGCAGCCTCGAGAGGCTGTTCAAACTGGCATTCATACTTTTGCTGATGGCCCAGATGCACAAGTGTCCCTTGAGCCCTCCGACGGTGGCGCCGCCCTCCGACAATGCGTCGGCGATGCCGAGACGTTTTAGCCGGCCGCCACCTCAGTTGTTCAAACCGCAGCTTCGGCCTTGGCAGCCACAAGGCAGCCGTCTTTTCAAGAACTATCTCGTCAGGGGGAGCAGAGGGTCGCCTCTGCTGGGCACGAAATCATGGTCACCACGTCCCGCGTCGAGTTTTTTGGGGCGCAAGATGGAGCATCTTTCGGCCGTCTCGGGCACCCTGCAAAGTGAAGTTTTTGCCGCGCCAGTCCAGCAGTCCTCCAGCTCCAGCTGGATACCGAACCCCGCAGTCATCGTCTGTCGCACGAATTTCAACGTGGACAAGCGTGACATTCTGACCCCCCTCACTGCTTCGACGGGGACATTTCGTTGGAGGCAGAGAACTGCAAGTCCAAGTCGCATCAGATGTTCTCAGCAGCGCGCAGCGAGGTAGGTGGGAATGGCATTGTCAGCTCCTCGTGCAGGGCCGCAAAGTTGGGAACTCTTCAGCGTCAGTGGCATCGCGGGGATCACAGTGGAAATCCGTGCGCCAGCGGACAAGCCGCCATGCCAAGTCAAGAAAGAGCTAGTTCAAGATCAAGCAGTGCCGAAAGCAGCTTGAGGGGAAGGTTATACATCTCGAGGAACCGATCTTGCGAGTGGAACCCACGCGAGTCGGCGAGACGAAAGTGGAGCTGGCGATGGACAACACGTTGGTGCCCAGCCTCGACCGCCAGCGGATCCACAACCGCGCTCAGCCTCTCATCAGCGGCCCAGTACAGCCGCAGTGGAGTGAGTACAACGTTTTTCGTACAGCGCCATGGAGTTATCCCCAGGCCCCGCCCCCTGTCGCTCGCCACTTGGAATGCTCGCTTTCTCTTCCATCGCGCCCTTCGTTTCCGTTCTCAGAAGTTCGCCAACCATTCCGCGCTTCCGGTGCCTGGCGCTGCTGCTCGCGCGCAAGAAGGTCGAGCCCCCCCATCTCGAAGCCAACGACGACCTGTGCCGTCTCCATAAGCCCGTTCAAGCGTTATTTGTCCTATCTCCCCGCTCCCCCCCCTTGCCCAGCCAGCGGCGCGCCCCCCCCCCCCCCCCCCCCCCCCCCCGAACGTTTCGGGGGAACACCCCGCGATCCGACTGAGGGCATCCCTGCGGAGCTATCCGCGGGCAGAATTATGAGAAGCATGATCAAGTTCCCCTGGGGAGAAGAATTCGCCCACAACGACATCCCCAAATTCGACTTAGGCCCCCGGGGAATGAACATCGTCGTCGCTGCGATTGTTGGGGGGCGTCGTCGGGCCTGAGAGGCCCAGCGCCAGACCATTCTGGTCATCCAAGAGGACTTCCATCGTTTGGTCGTATCTTCCTGCTCCGACCGTCTCCCTTAGCGACGCTGGCCTTGGGGACCCTGGGGGCCCGACAAGTTTGCGAATCTCCGAGTGGCGTGGACAGCGACCTGCTGAATGGGAAAGGTGCTTCCACTGGCCTGTCAAGTTCTCGGTGGTGAAGCCCGCGCAATTTGGCGCAGCCAGAGGTGCTCCGTCATCTCTGGATCGGATTTCCATCTCTCCACCAGGCTGGGCCCCCGGGCGCGCTCCATAGAATCGAGGATTGGTCTTTCGGATCACGCAGCGATTGCGGCGACAATGCGCCCGATAGGAGAACTGCCGACGTCCGAGAGAGCGACCTACGCCGAGATTTACATGCCCCCCGATCACCGAGGATATTTTGAGGACGTGCTAGAAGTGGCTGGCGTGTCTGGCATGGTCCCTCTCCGCCCCTGCTGGATTCCCATAACATTCGATGCCATATCCTGCTTGCTCTCGCAATCGCCTCGTTCTCCACGGTCCATCGAAGCCCCTTTTGCGTTTCATCGTGGCGATATCCATTATCCGAAACGACTGCATATTGGGTGAGAAATTCACATGTCGCTACACGCTCGAAAACGTGTCGTGCTTTTCCCGATTGGCAGGACAGTCCAGCTCGAGTTTCCCGGCGAGTTTTTGGAGTCGATTAGTACCTTGCACGCCGTGGCGAACGAGCGCGCACAACGAGTGACGCGCGAGCCCGTTTTCATTGACGAACGTTCTGCTGGCGTGCGTGAACGTCGAGGTAAGCTCTGGGGCAAGTTCCATCGGCGATTGTGTCTTCGGGGCCTCCATTTGGATGGCGCTGTCGTGGCCGATCTCGAACGGGCGTTCGCGGGATGGAGCGCGTTCGGGGAACTTTCGCTCGGCGAAACCGTCGGCCGAGCAGGCGGCAGAAAAGCGCGTCGAACGCCTGGGCTTCGACTGCAGCTCGGCTGGCCCCCTTCCGCCCGACCTCGGCCTCGTCGGGCGCGTTTCACGGCCCCTGCGTCCGAGTGCGCCGGGGCCGGACGGCCCCCCGTGCCAGGCGCGGCAAACCCGCCTTCGAGGCGCGGGGCGCCTCGAGGAAGCGGCGCGGTGGACCCTGTCAGGGACGAACGCGCCAGGCTCATTCAATGAGTTTAACGGCGCGTTCATTCCAAAATGCGCGGAGGCCCAGGGCGGCGCAGACGAGCTCATCCGCGAGCCCCGTGCTGCGAGGGCCCCATCTGAGCTCCACCGAAAGCCCCAGTGGTTGCGCCCGCATGCCCCCGCCAACCTGTTTTGGCACACCGCTCGCGCGGTTCGTGGCCCCATCGGCAGCTCGCCTGAGGCGCCAGTGTTTTGTGCCCGCATGCCTCCGCCGCCCTACCTTGGATGGCGCGCGGCGCGCGCGTTGTGCAGGGGCGCGAATGCAAGGGGGGGGGGCCCGCCACGAGTGCACTGCGCGGCGCCCGACGCGGCCGCGCGCGCGCCGCGCTGGGAGACGGGGGACCGCGCCACGAGAAGTGCTGCGCTTCCGTCGGGCACGCGGGGCGCGGGGCCCACCCCTGCGCCGCGCGGCGCAGGAGGTGCCGTTGCTCCTAGGGGCGCCGTTGTTCGTTTGCTGGGCCGCCGTATGGTGCATGGCTTTCGCCGCCCCGCCTCCCCTCGCGGTCGGTTTCGTTCGCGCGGTCGTCAGTCGCCTCGGCGTCGGCCCCCGCGTCGCGTCCGCGTTGTCCTGGCCCCGTTTTGCGTTTGGGCTCTGTGTCGGGCGTGCTTCGGCCCTGGGCCTTCGGTCTCGCGCCCGCGCGTCTCGGTGTCTCCGTCGGCTTCGCCCTGCCGGTCTGTTCTGGTCTGCTCCGTCCGTCGGCCGCGGCTCTCGTTGCTCGTCGCCCTGCCGCCGCCGCCGTCTCGGCCTCTGGCTTTGCGTTCTTCTTGTCTCTGGCTTCGCGTTCTTGCTGCCGCGCTGTCGGTCGTTCGGGCCCTCGGTCGCCTGCTCTCCCTCGGGCCCTCCGCCCCCGCCCTCGCGCCCCCTCGGCTCGGCCCCCGCGCCCTGGGCCCTCTCCGGTTCGCCTCCGCGCGCGGTCCGGGCCGCTCGCTGTCTCGCTCGGCGTCGCCGCCGTCGCTCGCGCCGCCGCCGCCGCTGTTTGCCGTTGCGTCTGGCCGTCTGCTGTTTTCGCTCGGCGCCGCCGCCGCCGCCCGGGCCGCGCCCGCCGCTGTCCGTTCGCGGTCGGTTCTGCTCGCCGTCTCGCTCGGCGTCGCCGCCTTCGCTCGGGCCGTCGCCGCCGCTGTTCGGCCGCCGCTTCCTCTTTCTTCGTGCGTCTGCACGACGTGCTTCGCCCGTGCGTTGCACCCCTCGCGCTGCTGCGGCGCGCGCGCCCGCGCGGCTTCGCGCGCGCGGCGTGCCCGCGGTGCTCCCGCGCGCGCGAACGACCCGCGCGCTTGCGACGCGCCAGCCCCGCGCGCGCGCCCGCGCGGCGCCGCGCGCGCGAAGCGTCCGCGCATTCACGACGCGTGCGCCAGTGCAGCACCGCCGCGCAGCGACGCGCCGGCCCCGCGTGCGCGCCCGCGCAGCACCGCGTAGAGGTGGCAATGTGCAAGCGCGCTAACGACGCGCCGGCCCCCGCGCGCGCGCCCGTGCAGCACCGCGCACACGTGGCGCCCGCGCGATCATGACGTGCGCGCAGAGGCAGCGCCGTGCGCGCGCGTGTTGCGACGCGCCGTTCCCGCGCGTGCGCCTGCGCAGCACCGCGTGCAGAAGCGCCCGCGCGATCATGACGCGTGCGCCAGTGCTGCGCCGCCACGCAGCGACGCGATGGCCCCGCATGCGCGCCCGCGCAGCACCGCGTAGAGGCGGCAAAGTGCCAGTGCGCTAACGACTCGCCGGACCCGCGTGCGCGCCCGTGCAGCACCGCGTACAAGAGGCGTCCGCGCGATCATGTCGTGCGCGCTAATGCAGCACCGTGCGCGCGCGCGTCGCGACGTGCCATTCCCGCGCGTGCGCCCGCGCGGCGCCGCGCACAAGAAGCGCCCGCGCGACCATGACGCGTGCTCCAGTACAGCACCGTCGCACCGCGACGCGCCGGCCCCGCGCGCGCGCCCGCGCAGCACCGCGTAAAGGAAGCGCCCGCGCGCTAACGGCGTGCGCACCATCGTATCACCGTGGGCGCGCGCACCGCGGTGTGCAGCTATCGCGCGTGCGCTAGTGCAGCTCCGCGTGCAAGTAACGCCCGCGCGTCCAGGACGTGTGCGCCTGTGCAGCGCCGCGCGTGCGCACGTGCCGCGTCGCGCTGTTGTCGCGTGTGCGCCAGCGCAGCACCGCGTGCGCTGCGCGCTCGCGCAGTCGTTGCCTGTGCTTCGCCGCGCCGCGCAGTGCGAGCAGTTTTCTCAGCCGCGCGCGCCGAGGAACCGCCGCGGGCACGGCGACCCTTGCGGACACCATGCTCGATTGCGCGTCTTTCTTGCCTGAGGCGGGGCGCCGCGAGGAGATCGCGAAGGTCGCCAACGATGCTTTAGCGAAGGCCGGATTCAGCTCGCGCGAGAGTTTGGTGTTCACCGGGTTCTCCGATCTCGGCACCTTGGCCAAGGCCCCGGGGCTCGCCGAGGCGGTGATTCGCCGCGCCCTCGCCGTCGTCAAAGAGGGGGCACCCGCGCTGCCCGCGGCGGGCGGCGGGGCCGTCGCGAAGACCGAATCGGCCGCCACTCTGCACATCAATCTCGAAGAGCGGTTGACGGCACTCAATCTCGCCGGCCTGCCGCGCGAGCTTAAGCCGCCCTCGGTCCTCGTGGGCCAGATGGCGACGGATATCGCAAGGCCACTTGCGCGCATCGCGCGCCGCCCCGCGAACGCGACCTGCTGCGCGCGCGGGTTGAAGCGGCAGGGGGTCGCCGCGCCTTTCACTGCGCGCGACCTGCGCAAGTTTTTGCCCGGCTGGTGCGCGGATGAGAAACGCGCCACTTTGACCATGACGCAATGGCAAAGCGAGGTGGGAACGGCGCCATCCCCCTCCAGCTCGCCCGCGGCGACCGCGCGATAGGCGCCGCGCGCCCGCGGCGTAGGTGCAGCGTAGCGCGGCAGCGGAGGTCACTGACCAGTTGTCGCGCAGCGCGGCCATGGCACGTCGCAAGGTGGTGACGCGCGTCGCTTTCAAAGCGCAGGCGCCCGGTCCTTTCTCCTTCGCCGCGCCGCGGGCTTCGCGATCCGCGCAGGCGGGGGGGGGGCCGCGTGCAGCTCGGGCTCGTCAACGACGAAGTGGCGCGTGAGAGTTGGCAGGGGCGAGCCCGGTCCGGTGAGACAGATTTCGACGTCAACAAGGCGCGCGCGCGGTGCCGGCGCCGCGATCGCGCGCCGCGGCGCGCAGCGTCAGGTTGCGAGCCGGTGCTGCGACGAGATTCGCCAGACTGCCGAAGAGCTGCACGACCGCGAAGAGCCCTCAGCGCCTCCTCCGCGGTGCCCCACGACGCCCCCGCGCGGCGGGCCCAAGGGCGGCAGCAAGGGCCCCGCGGCCCTTGCCGCAGCGGCGGAGGGCGCGGGCTCGAAGCGCAAGGGCCGGGCCGGCAACGGCTGGGAGCGCGGTGACGGGAAGCGCTTGCGCCGCGGCGAGCGCGGCGGCAAGTCTTCCGCCGCCGCCGGCCGCTGGGCGAACGACAGCGGAATTCAGGCCTGCGCGCGTTCTCGCGCACTCGCGTCCGTCCGCGTCGCGCGTTCGGCGCGCCGCAGGAGGTGCCGGCAGAAGTGCCCTCCCCGAGCGGGGCAAGCGAGGCGGCGCGCGCGCCTAAGTTCTTCGCGCGTTCCCTCGCAGGTGGGCTTCCCCATCTCGCGGTGCTGCACGAAATTCGATCGTTCGTTCGGCGACCAGGTTCGCCGCGTCGCGCCGCCGGCGCCGCGTCGCGCCCGCGCCCGCCGACGACGCGCAGGATGGGCGCGGCTGGCTGGCGCGCGCGACGAGGGCCTGAGTTGCGCCGGCGCGGCGAAGGCGCCGCCCGTGCAGCGCGCTTCTCGCGCCCGTGCCGCGCCGCGCTGCGGTCGCGAGGCGCGCCCCTATTTGCAATTCATGCGCGACGCGGCTGGCCCCGCGAGAACGCGTTCGGGGCGGGCCAAGTTGCCTCCGGATTGCACTCGCGCAGTCGATTGGAATTGCCAGCGCCCCCTCGAGGAGGCGCAGCGTGAAAGGGCGCAGATTCTTCGCGGGCTCGCCGGGGGGCGTCGCTACATCGCGGAGAGCGGCGATCTGGAGTCGTGGTTCGCCGGCGCGGATCCGACCATCCTGAAGATCGCGGGGGGCTCGTGTCCGCAGCTCATGGAGCGCCTAGCGCGGCGCATCGGCCGGCAAGACGCCGATGTCGTCGAATTATTGCGAGAGGCCGCTCCGCGCGCGCGCCGGGCGCGGCGCAGTCCCCCGCGCTGCCAGGGCGCGCCGCTGACCGGCGACCTAGCGCTCGAGTTTTCCTTCACCGCGTCGGCCGACGGCGCGCCAGAGCCGGCGCCCGGCCCCTTCGAAGGCAAGCCGCGGCCGCCCGCCCGCGGCCCGCGTAGCCGCGCCGAGCGCAGGCGCCGAGTCGCGGAACCGGCAGACCTTGCGCGGTATGCGACGCGACGAGAATGAGGACGCCCTGTGGGCGGCGGTCTGGAAGGACGTCGAACTAGGGCGCACGGAGGCTCCGGTCGCCGTGGACTCGCTGCCCCGCGACCGCGTCGTGCTCTCAAAGCGTTTTTCAGTGGTGCAGGGGCAAAAGATAAGGGCGGTCGACGACGCGACCGCGTCCGACTTGAACCCGCGAGCGCGGCTGGGGCGCGCGATCGAACGCGATTCGATCGATCAGCTCGAAGAGCTGGCGCGGGTGCTGGTGGAACGCGGCTGCCAAGCGCCCAGGTTCTGGAAGGCGGATGTCGACGCAGCCTACCGCCGCATTGCGCTGCGCGCGGCGGCGCGAGCCGCGGCCTACGTCGTCTTCTTGTATCGCGGTAAAGCGCGCTGCGAGGCACAACGCGGCTTTCTTCGGGGCCACGAGCTCGGTGAAGCGCTGGGCGCGACTCGGCGCGCGGCATCTCGCATAGTTTCGCATCGCCGCGCGGCGCGGCACGCGCGAGCGTCGCGCGCGGCAGGCGCATTCCTCGCGGCGGTGCTGCGACGCGTGGTCTTCTTGCCTGCACTCCGGTATGTCGACGATTTCTTCAGCGCCGACGAGGGCGACGGCGTCGGCGATGCTGCCGTAGCCGCTGCCGAGCTGATTCGCATGCTGCTCGGCGACGACGCCATCCAGGCACGTAAGCTGGAACGGGGCTCGCCACTCGTTGTGCTCGGCGTCGAAGTTCTGGCCGCACGCGCCGCGTCGCCTCTGGCTCGCAGCGCCCACGACGCGCAACGCGCAGGCCACGAGGCAGGAATTCTGGGCGGTGCCGGCGCCGCAAAAAGTCGAGCTGTGGCCCAGCATGATTCGCGGCAACTTGACCGCGGACAAATTGTCGCCAGGCGCGCGCCGATCTCGCAGCGCGCCTCACGGCCGCGCCGTGCGCGGGAGGCGATGCAAGCAAGCTCGCCGGGCGTTTGTGTGGGGCTGCGCATGCATGTTCAATAGGCTGGGGAGAGCCCTGCTACGGCGCGACGCCGCGCCGGGCGTCGCGGTCACGCGCCGGCCGGATTTCGCGCTCATCGTCGCAGGCCGTTGTTCGCGCGGGCCCAGAGTCGCGCATGCAGGCTCAACGAGCCACTCCGGTTGGCTCTGCGGCGGCGGCTGGACGCGCTCGAGCGCGACCTATCTCAAGCGCGCCGCTGGGACCAGGCGCGGCGCTCAGCGGGGTCGGTCGCACGCGGCCGCGCGCTCGGCGCCGCCAGGCCGAGCGGCCCTCTGCCGCGATTTTCGCCGACGCGAGTGGGGCGCCAGCCCGCCTCGGGGCGGTGCTTTGCATCGATGGCGAAATTTTGTACGCAGGCCGCTGCGTGACCGATGAAGAATAAGCGTGGTTCTCCGCCAGGGGGGGTCAGCAGATCGCCGGATTGGAACTCTTGGCTATTGCGCTCGCGTTCTCAACGTGGGATGGCGCGCGCAGCCGCGAACCGAGGCACGCGCGCGTTCGCGTGGCTCTCCACCGCGCGCAGGCTTGCTTCGGGACCGCGCCGTCGCAGCGTGGAGCGACAATGTAGTCGTCGAGGATTCGCTCCGCAAGGGCAGCGCGAAGGCCTGGGATCACGCGTGCATCGTGCGCGCGCTCTGGCTACGGGCGGCCGTCCTGCGCGCGGCGCTCTGGATCTACCGCGTCGACGCGAAGCGCAATCCAGCCGACGCACCCTCGCGCGGCGATTTCGCGCTGATGCGACGCCTCGCTGCGACCTGGAGCGAGCCAGTGCTCGCGCCCACGTTCCGATGCGCGGGCGCGTGGGCCGCCCTGCGGCTTCCCAAGCTGTTCTGACTAAACGCGCGATGGCGACCCGCGGCCAGCGTCCTCGCGGCGCGGCCGCGCGCGCCCTGGCGTTCCGGGGGAGGGCAGCAAGCCGCGCGTTTCCCGGCGTTCTGGGGGGAGGGTCGCAGCGCGCGCAAGGAGACCCGCGGCAGCGAATATGTCCGACCGCGAACGCACTGCATTCGTTTTAAGAGTTCGGCGGCTGCTCTACGATGTTGCGCCGCTACATGCGGTTGCCGCGGCGCTGTGTTTGTGGAGCAATTCCGTTGCGTCGGAGATAGAGGCAGCTTACGTCTTGCCGGCACTGCGCGTTATCGGCACTGTGCGCGCGCCGTCCCACGCGCGCGGCGCGTGCAGGAAGACTTGGGCGGCTTCGCAGACCTTGCTCTGCTCGCGGCGGACGCGATTCGCGCGCTGCCAGCGCGGGTCGCGGCCGACGTGCAGTTTCCATCGCGCGGCGGCGCGCCGCGGCTGTCGTCCGAGTGGGCGTCCTCGGCACTTCGAGCCGCGCGCGTTCACGGCGCCGTCGACGCCGCCGGCCATCGTGCACGAGGTGGCGGCAACAGCGCCGCCCCGTCGCGCGCGACGCGTCGGCGCCCCGGTGCGCCTGCCAAAGGTGTCGCAGAGCTCCCCAGATTCCAGCTCTGAGAGTGCCGATTCCTCTGACTCGATCAGCCCGAGCGTGCAGTCCGTGAGCTCCTCGCCAGCGCGTCGCGAGAGCGTGCTAGCCTCGTCGCCCGACCCGGTGGACCCGCGCCCGCCGGCCGGTCCGCCGCCCTGGTTTCGCGCCAATAGGGGTCAGGATTCGCGAGCGAGCGCGGCTGGGCAGGTAATGCCGCGAGTCTTTTCAGCGCGCAACGTGGTGCAGGCAGAAGTGGACGGCCCGCGCGCTGCTTGTCGCAAGCTCGCCGCGTTGCATCAGACCGACGGCCAACGCGCGCGACGGCTGCGCGGCGCGCGGTTCACGTCTCTCTCAACTCGCCTCAGCGTCGAAGCGGAGCTTCTGCAGCTCCTGGCTCGCGTGGCTCCAGTTCGCTGAAAAATTCGGCGGCGAGGCGTGCCAGCTGCCGCCCAGGCTGGGCCCCCTGCCAGCCTGGGCTCACTGTTTCGATAACTCGCGAACGTGCGGCAATTACGTCGCGCATTTGCGGCGCGCGTGCCTTTTGAGCGTCCGCAGCGTCGAGGTTTTCCAGCGCCCCGCGGCGCGCGAGGCGCGCGCCGGCATCGAGCGGCGGCGCGCGCGGCCTCGGCGAAAGCCACGTTTCATTCAGCGCGACGTGCTTCGCGCGATCGCGGCAGCGTGCGACGCGGGCCGAGTCGCGCATCGCGACTTCATGCTGGTGCTTTTCAGCTACGTGTTTCTCTTAAGGGTGCCCTCGGAGGCGGCGCCGGCGACTTTTGCCGGCCCTCGGCCCGATGCCGGCTCACTTCGCTCTGTTGCGTTCGACGGCACCCGTGTTTTCCTCCGTTTGGCGCGCCGCAAGAATTTGCGGCAGGGCGGCCCGGCAATGAGCCGCGGGTGCTGGTGCTCCGCATGCCCCGCCACCTGTCCCGCCCACGTACTCGGGGCATTCCTCCAGGCGC